CCAGGGCTATGCCCTCCCTAGGACCGCGTCCTCCCCAGGCCCACGTCCTCCCCAGGCCCATGTTCTTTCCAGGACCATGTCATCCTCCCCAGGACCATGTCCTCCCTCAGGACCATGTCTTCCTCAGATCCCTGTCCTCCTAAGGGCCGCTTCCTCCCCTGGGCCCTGCCCCACCTCAGTACCAAGTCCTCCCCGGGCCACATCCTGTCTCGGGGCCATGTCCTCTATTAGGACCACTGCCTTCCAGGGCCACACCCCCACACAGAGCCACATGTCCCAGAGCCATGTCCTGCTCACAGAGCCACATATTCTCTCAGAAATTTGTCCTTCCTGCAGGTTTGAATCCCATGTCCAAGCCCAAGCAACACGCTGGAAGCCAAGGCTCAGCCCCTTCCCAAGACTCAAAGCCTCTATGGGAAGCCCAGATCCCCATCCTGGGCCAATGCTGTGGTGGGAATGTGGGGGAGGTAGGGTCGGGAACCCTCCCAGGAGAGAGAGGAAGTAGCAGAGAACCCCAGGAGCCATACAATGACACCCCGGTCCCTGGACCCTGCCCAGTATATGCCTTCTCCTGGAGGTTCTCGAGTGGGAGGGGGGCAGTATCTCTTGGCCTCTGCTCACAGCCCCACCCCTGACAAAAAACAGTAGCTCAATGGACACTGCACCTGTGCCCTTCCTGAAGTAAGTCACCTCGCCACCTGTGACAAGGATTTGTTTATTGTGCAAGTGGACTTTCCCCACAGTCAGGCCCTGGAATGTGCCATGAATAGTGGGTCTTCCTCCACTTGCCAAACAAGTTGTCAGTGAGGAGGATCCTGGGATCTCACAAGCCCCTCTCAGGACCCTCACGAGTTGCAAGCACAACAGCAGAAACGAAGTGGCCAAGGGGGTGGAGGGTGCACTTAGTCTGGGCCAGTACATGACCACTTCTCACTGATAAACTCTGGGGCTACTATCCTCACAGAAGCTGTCCCGAATTTTACTCTGCAGAAAAGAAGCAAACAGTCTGTCTGGGGCTGGTTCCCACCATGCCAGCATGCATTAAACAGTTTAATCAATTAGCATGATGGCAGACTCAGTGTCAGCTGCAGTACTAATGAGGGCTCCCCGGCCCCCACCCGTGGGACCAAAGCCCATGTCTCTGACCTGGCAGGTCCTCCCCAGATGGTGTGGCTGCAGGAGTGGGTCTGGGAACCTGGCACTGTGGCCCCATTGGACTTCATACCTCAGTGCTAGGCCATCCCTGCAGTCTGGAGCGCCCTCCAGACTGGGGGAGCTCCAGGCCTGTTCTGCCAACCCAGGAAACATACCCACATGACAGCTGGGAAGAGGAGGGCGTCCCAGGACACAGAGAGAATAAGGGTGAGCCAGGACTCTCCTTGTGACCCTGTGTGTTGGTTAAAACACATACACACATACATGCATACACATATATGCACACTGGATGGAGGGGAGGCAAGCAATCCTTTACAAACAAGGGAGAAAACCATACCTGCCCTGGGGTACAGTCTGCACAGGGACATGTTCCACTTCGAGATTCTGCTAAAAGTTATGAGCTGTGAAAACGCAGCATTTCCAATGCACTTCAGGGGATGCATAAGCCCCTGGAGGGACCACCCGCTCCCACATGCGTGTGTGATTTGTCCTGTGACTGCTGTAATCTACCACTCTCAGGACCCTCTCAAAGTGTGAGCTCAAAGGCCTACCAACACAGATGTATCACTGCCAGGCTCTGGAGGTGAGTCACAGTGGCCTGAAATCAAAGTGTCACAGGTCTGGTTCCTGTTTCCTTGCTTTCTCTGGCTTCTGGAGGTGCCCAAACTCCTAAGCTGGTAACCCCTTCCTTAATTTTCAGGTTGGCTGAATCCTCTTAATGCTTCATTTCTCTGGGTCTTTCCTGCCTCCTTCTTCTGCCTTGCAGGGCCCTGGGTCCACTGGAGAACTTGGATCCAGAACCACTGCCCACAGCTGACAAGCAACAGTAATTCCCCTCTGTCGGGTTAAGATGGTACACACCAGGCTCCAAATACACAATGTACAAGATTGAGACCAGAGATGGAAACACGGCAGCAAGGAATCAAAGAAATACAAACTGCCAATAGGAGATTCCCCTTGTCCTGTCCCCAGCTGAGCATTGGTCTTAGAACCATCAGGAAGCAGAAAGCAGGGGAAAGCAAATCTAGAAAGACCTGGGTGCTCTGCCTCTACTCCTGGTCACCCTGCAATCTGCATTCCTGAGGCATCCCGAAAATTAAGGGTTGTGGGATGGCAAGTGAGTTCCTTGATCCCAATACCACAGGTCAGATGTGGATAAGCTGCAGGAAACTGGACTCAATAGATGAGCATATGTCCTTGTCAGAAAAACACTGTTGCAATCTTGGCAAATGTGCCAGAGGTGAAGCTCCCTACCCCAGGCCATCCATCCCTTCCCTACACTTTTCTTTATTTGCAAAATGTTCTCACTCACTGAATAGTGTTACTTTAAAAAAAAAAAAAAAAAAAAGGCCTTTAAAAATCAGTGCTGGGGGGGGTGGGGAGTGGTTCTGAACACATCATGACATCCACCAGGGACCCTGGGTGGAGACTGCCCACCATGAATTTTCCAGGGACCCACACAAAAGCTCTGCTCTGACTTGAAAGCACTCAGAACTTTCTAGAGCAGGATTTAGGGCTGTGAGTTGAAAACAGCCCAAGTGTCCATTGCTGTGGGTGGTCGCAACACAATACACCTGGATCAGCCAGGATTGAACCAGAACTTGGCAAAAGGAAGGTGGAGGCCAGAGGCATGGCTGCCCTCCTGGTCCCAAGACTCCAGGTAGACTGTGGAGGTTTCTAGAAGGCTGGGTGCCCATGCCTTGGTGGTGGAGAAAGGGTACTGCTAGCTGTGTGGGCCCATATTGGTCTAACCCAATGGCCAGGTCAGCTTGCCTTATGAAGGCAGTACTGGTGTAGCAAGAGCAGTTAGAACCGCTGGTCCAGCAGCCCTAGATCCCCAGGACAGGGTGTCAAGAGGAGTGGGGACAATGCAGAGGAATGGGAAAGTGTGTGGGGGGGCAGGCAGTGAAGGAGGGAACAGTGCAGGAGGATGGGACAGTGTAAGAGGGAGGGGAGAGCAGAAGGCAAAGAGTGCAAGAGGGAGGAGTGCAGAAAGAGGGGACAATGCAGGGAGAAGGGACAATGAAGGAGGAGGGGACAGTGCAGGGGGAGGAGAGTGCAGAGGAAGGAGAGTGCAAGAGGAGAAAACCTTGCAGGGAGATTAGACATTCTGGGGAGAGGACATGTAGGGTGGGAAAGATAAGGGGTGGGACAGATATTTGCAGCTTGGTAAGAGGGAAGGTGGGTTCTGCAGTAGGGTGGACTAGGGCTCCTGCAGGGCTCCCCTTCATATTCTTGATGGAGACATAGAATGGCTTCAACACACTATCACTCACAGTGACGGATTTGTGAGCCTCGTGGGGTCCCCCAGCCCTAAACGTGCAGACTGTACAGCAGAGGCCACTGCAGGGTCCACCTGAAGAAGTCCCTGCAGGGTTCACCTGAAGGAGTCTCCAGAGATCCTCTAAGTGCCTGGTCTCCTCTTTGGGGGCAGGATCTGCTTGTCAGAGCACAGTGGGAAAGGTGCAAGGGGTGGGGGGTTGTCTAGGCGGTGGCAGCTCAGGTCAGAGAGGTGGATGCACTCAGGCCTGGCCCCACCAAGGAGGACACTTATCTGTCTGGCAAGTCCTGCTCTGCCCCTGTGTCCATGGAGAAAGGCCCCAAGGTACTTCTTTAAACTCCCAAGGAGTTTCTGTCACTCATCTAAGTCCCAAAACCAACCTCAACCTCTCCATGACAGGAGGCCGCCAAACCTGCCATTCCTGTTCTGCAACTTCCTAGAGCCCACAAAGCAAGAACCAGGAGGGTTCAGCTCCCGCCAGCCCTGAACTTGGCACTTCTGTGCTGTGACCTTGTCCTGCTGGTACAAGGTGTCTTAATCACCAGTCAGAGTAGGGTCTGGACCAACAAGAACACTGCTGTTGCACGTTCTGGCCCATGAAAAACTGCTGCTTGTTGTGACATGTGCCAGATTAACCTGAGCCGGTACACACTTGAGCCAGTCCACACCTGTGCCAGCATAACCTGAGCCACAAATGAGCTGGTACACACCTGAGCCAGCACATAGCTAAGCCGGTGCACACCTGAGCTGGCACACACCAGAGCCAGTACACTCCTGAGCTAGTGCACACCTAAGTGTGTGCAATGTCCTCCCAGGTCACTCAGTGCAACCACTTGTTCAGAAAAGGCCTGAATCACGCTTGCTGATCACATCAGCCTCTACTAGACCCTTCTTTGTCTCTGTCGTTGCACAGGAAGAACCACATGATTCATAAATGAGGAGCAAAGTGGGGTCTGTTTCCTACCCACTAAACCCCCTATATGTAATGAGTCTCTCCCACCCAATTTCATGTCCATCTATAACCTTCGTTGGAAATAGGGTCTTTGCAGATGTAGTCATGTTAAGATCAGGTCATTAGAGTGGGCCCTAAATCCAATAGTTGTGTCCTTCTAAGAGAGAACCTTAAACACAGATGCACACAGGGAAGAAGCCATGTGACAGGAAAGATGAGACTGGAATGAGGTAGCCACAAGCCAAGGACACTTGGAACCACCCCCAGGAGCTGAAAGGATAAGGAAAGACCCTCCTTGAAGCTTTCTGAGGGAGCATGGCCTGCCCACACCCTAATTTTGGATTATGGCCCCCAGAACTGTGTGAGGAAAAGGTCTGCAGTTTAAGCCTCCATTTGTGGTGATTTGTCACAATAGCCACAGAAAACTGATTCATTCTCTGAGAACATGGGAGGCCACGGACCCCAGCCCAGACGAGCCCTGGGTGTTCAAAGACTTACTGTGGGCTCAGGCATTTTTGGAAAGCTGGGGTCAAAGGGCAGGACTAGGTCAACAGAAAGAGAGCAGGCAGGTACTGAAGGGAATGGTGGGCAGGAATAAGGAAGAAAGCATGTCCTGAGGCCAAGCAGTATCCTCTGGATATGTCCAGCAAGAGGCCCCAAACGGCAGGACTGGGCCTACTCAAAGAAGGCCTGACACGGGCATGCCCAGCTGACAGGCCAAGACAGACACTATGGTGTGGTCAGATCCTGGTCTTTATTCTCTGGAATGGAAATAACCTGCTGCAGCCTGAGAAGGACCAGAGATGCAAAGCTCATTCTTTAAAAGTACAAACAAAATGAAGATAAAACACATTTTTGGCTCCATATGTTTCAATTACAAGAATAACGACGTTGAATGGTACCCAGGCTTTCCATGAAGCCCACGGACCATCACTGACATTAGGCCAAATGTGATGGCTTTAAGATGATTTTTAAAATGGTATTAAATGGCATACAAGCCATCTTCAGACACATGAGTTTGTTTGCTGTGGAATTTTCTTTTTTATAAAAAATAATAACTTAGTTTGCATTATACAGCATTTCCAATCTGTCAGGGTGTCCTTGGCTGGACCTCATGGGGTCAGAGCAGCTTGTACCTCCCCAGCTTGAGAACTGAGCCAGGCCTGCGTTCCTGGCCTGCACGCCCAACCCATGGCCTGTGCCCTTAGTATGCACACCCAGACTGTGGCCCACATCAGGACTTGAGCAGCCACAGCAGCTAGCAGTGGCTCATTAGGAGAGGGTGGACAGCACCCATAGTCACACTGCAAGTCACTCCATGCCAATCTCACAGGGGTTCAACCCCCGCTCCTCTGCGTCCCTGTACATCCTTTGGAAGTCACTGAAGCGTGGGGCACAGCCAAGCTGCGCTTCCCCAAAGTGCACGTGTCCAGTAAAGAGGAAGTCCCCAGGCCCGGGCCGCACGCCACATTCCAGCAGTGTCGTGACATGGCCCTGCCAGTGGCTGTCACCCTCAGGAGCTGGCTGGAAGACTTTGGTCTTCTGCCGATGAAGTCTGCTCACCCGCAGGTGAATGACTGACTCCTGCTGCTCTGGCACATGGGTAATGTTCTGAATGGAGCCACGGACGACTGTAAAGGAAAAGAGAGACAGGTCAGTGGGTCCAGTGAGCACTGTTGGCCAAAGGGAGGCACACAGCACATGTTACCCTACACACATCCTAGGCGCTGAGCCCAAACTCTGCTATCTAGGAAGGCGCTCAAAAGGCTTTATCCTGAGGGGCTATCCCTGATAGTGATACCGCCAGACAAAGGTGCTCTTTCCATGGAGGGCTGTAGCAGAAGCCATGCTACTCTCTTCAGGTCAGAACAAGAAAATAAGCACAGCTAATCCACAAGATAGATCTTGCTGCACTGGGAGACCTCTACCCAGCCACTGAGCCCAGGCCAGATCTAGAGGGAAGCAGCAAGGAGCCCCCGGCCCATGAGGTCACAGACCTTGGAGCTCAGGTGGGGCTCAGAGCAGAGTCAGTGGGCCCTGGCTTAACATGGCCACAACCACAGCAGCAGGTCAGCAAGCACCATCCTGGGGTCCACACCTTTCCCCAAGAGTGTTGTGTGAACATCGCAGGCAAGGAGCCTGCTACCCTCCAACTTCAAGCCCACCAGGCACTTGAAACCCCCACCCACCAGGAGACCTGATGTGCTGAGCTCTAAGGTGGAGGCTGACACAGGTACAGAGGTGGAGGCCTCTGTATGGCCAACAGAGCAGTGTTCACAGAGCACTTCCAAGAGAGTCACTGGGAAGAGAAGTTCCTCCAGGGTCCCCAGGGGAGGGGGCAGTGAGCTCATGTGCTCAGTGGGAGTACACTTGAAAGATACCTGGGATATCAATCCCAGCTTTTCCTGTGTGTGCCAAGCATGTACGCGTGTGTGCAGAGTCCTATACTGTGGGCTGGAGGCCCCCATAGTGCATGGAAAAGGACCTTTCCCTGTGATTCCAAGGGGAACATGCCCAGTGGCTTCAGAAGACCCCCCCTCCCCCAAAAGGAAGTCAATGCCAACCCAAGAAGTGCTCCAAGGCCCTGGAGAGGACTCCTAGGCATGAACAAAGTTCCACCTGCAGGAATCTGAGCACAAGAGTAGACTCACCAAAGTCGCTGGTACAGACGGCAAGGAGGACCTCAGTGTCACTGCAAGGCCGGCATGGGGCTGAGGAGGAGAGAACAGGGTAAGTAAACAGCCTGAACAACACTGGTCAGTCACAGACTCTCTCTGGCCTTGATGTGGCAGAAGGTGGCTGCCCCAGCCTGCACTTGATAGCTCACATTACAGACTCAACCATCAAAGCCATGGTCATGATCAGATCTCTGTGGCTAGCTCCAGCCCCAGCATGCATAGAGGCACACCACAGAAGGCCCTGGGAGAGCAGGAGACAGAACACTAAGCAGTCATACCAGGAACTGACTCCAGGGGATCCCCCGGCCCCACCTGGCCTGAAGGAGCTCACACTGTGGCCACAATGGGCATGTGCCCCAAGAGCGAGACCTCAAGGAGAGGGGCTCCATACCCTCCCCCACTTACCTGTTAGCATAGTTGTGCCAGACAGGCAACAACTCCATTCATTGAAAAACAGCTCTTGGACTGGGGATGTAGCTCAGTGGTAAAGTGCTTGCCTAAAAAGCTCTTACAGGCTGGGAACAATGGCTCAAGTCTATAATCCTAGTTACTCAGGGAAAAGTTTGTGAGACCCCATCTCAATCAGTGGTCCTCATTGTCATCACACTCAGAGGGAGAAGCATGAATAGGACAGAGGTCCAGACCAGCCAGGGCATAAAGCAAGACCTTATCTCAAAATAACCAAAGCAAAAAGGGCTGATAGTTTGACTCAAGTGGTAGAGCACCTGCCTAGCAAGTGCAAGACCCAAGTTCAACCCCCACTACAGAAAAAAAATATTACTCTTACATGTCTGTCCCAATTGCAAAACCAATGCCTAGACAAACTGAGACCATGTCCCTACATCATAGGCTACTGTTCCCAGCCTCCACACCCATCCCTAAAATGCAGAAACCACATAGCATAAAATTTTACCATTTTAACCTTTAAAAATGAGGTCTAGTCCAAAGTCATTAAGTACACTCACATTGTACAACCATCACCACTAACCATCTCCAATATATTTTCATCTTTCCAACTGAACTTCCACACGCATGGAAGTCAGCTACTCACTGACCTCAGCAGCTCCCTCAAAGGAGACCCTCCTGCAGCATTGAAACATCCACTTCCCAGATCCACCTGCAGCCAAACCCAGAAGTGTCCCATCCTGCCAACCCAGCACTGCCCAGGAGGACCCACAAGGCCAAGATTCTGCAAAGGAGGTAATGAAGGGGGTGAATAGATTTGCCTGCCCCACAGACACAGACCTAAGATTGGGGCCATCAGCTCAGCCCCTTCCCTAGCCCTGCCCAGCCCTTGGACAAGGTATGCACCCCAAATGCCTTTTAAACTGAGCCCTGTTCACAGACTCCCTCTGAGGCCCCCTGAAACCTGGGGTCTGGCTTCCTCCAGAGCACCCAGAAGGGCTATATGTTTTCAGAACAAGCTCCCTCACCAGCCAATCACTTACACAACACACTTCTCCCATGACAGACAGTCCTCACCCTGCCCTTTGTCCCATTTCTCCTGATGTGGAACAGAAACTCCAGCTCTGCGGCTTTCCCCACAGGCCATGGCCTTCCTGCACTCCAGAGTGGAATCAGGAAAATGCACGTTTCTTATTTGCACTTATTTAGGTTTCAAGGTTTCTGCCTTCAGTTCCTACATTGGGAACAAATTCTCCTAACTCAGTAGAAACTCAGGTATAAAATCCCAGCAAGACAAGTTTCTCAGCAGTCAGCCTTTCTATTGCAGGAGCAAGTCCTTGCCTTGGGGGCCCCTGGAGTCCACACACAACTACACCCCCGAGCAGAGGTGGGCTGAAATGCCACCTCCCTGGCAGCTGCACAGACCCCACTTGAGTGCTGGTGACTCACTCAGGTCCAGAAGGCACCAGGTCAGAGTACATGTAGGAGGGCAAAGAGGCTGAGTATTTCCAAGCCAGCAGGCATTCAGAGAAGACGTGCAGGTGCACAGACCCTCGGGGCCAGAAGAGACCAGAGACAAGGCCCTAGAGTTTGTAGCATCCTGGGTAGGCAGAGCTGACTGTGGACCCCTCATCTGGGTGTGTGTGGGCCCTAGCCTCGGGTCCTGCCCCAGCAGGCAGGGGTGGGTGTCTCCTGGGCTCAGTACTTGCTGACTCACTTGGCCCACCCATCTGCCAACACCTTTGCTCTGTTATCAGAGAAAGGAGAAGCCACAGAACAAGAACAACCGAACAACCTGCTGGTGTCAGTACAGCCCATCAGAGGATCCAGCACCTCCCCTACCCTAGCTCCAAACACCAGAGCCTTCTCTACTGAGAAGACATGGCTGTAGCCAGACCCAGAAGCCTGCAGTGTGCTGCCCTTCTGATGCCCCTTCCCTTCCTGAGATGTGTGGGTCACAGTATAACTCCTACCCCTAGGGGTCACTTGACCCCCACCCCTGAAGCTGCTGGGATTCTCCTTTGGGCCCAGGGTATGGCCCCTGTAGCAGGTTTCCTGTTCACAGGCTTCCTACCTGGGCTCCAGACAGACCTGGGATGGTCAGGGGCCAGAGCAGAGACAGGCCACTGCAGAAGCCAGGACTGACAGGGGCCAGGCAGCACTGTAGGTTCCAAGGACTTGCATTTCAGGTGGCATCTTGATTCAGGCATGAGACCTGGGGTGGCAGGAGAGGTTGCCCACCTGGTCAATACCAACCCAGTGCTCACAGGTCAGAGCCCTGAGTTTGGTGCCCCTCATCCAAGCAGGGGTAGGCTTGGCTCCACAAGGGAAGGTCAGCCATCAAGTTCACAGTGATCATAGCCCACCTGAGTGTCCTTTTTGGAAGGAGGGCAGTGACCATACTGGACAAAGTCAGGGGTCTAGGCCATGTGGTGCTACAAGTGAGGAGGAAGCAGGTACCAGAAGTTGCCCTAAAGTAAGTCAGCTGAGGCCAGCTGAGGCAAATACCTTGCACTGCAAGGAGCTGACAAGGCTGAGCCACACACAGACACTGGACCCCAGGCCTGGGTATGAAGGGCCAGCTAAGCCTACAAGCTTCACCCTCCCTGTGAGTCATGCACTGACAGCTGGGGAGAAAGCATAGAGACCCTCCCCCTATTTGCCTTGGCTCAGGTGTCTGTCACAGGAGATGTGGACACTCTGAGGGAGTTCAGCAGGCTGTAGACCTGAAGTGTGCCATGGGCAGCTGAGCTAACAAAGATACCCAGACGCATCTCTCTTCTAACTCTGAACTTCAGAGAGTGCAGTTCACCTTTGCAGAAACTCAGTGTGGACTCCAATGACAACAATCTGGAAACTATTAATCAGAGTTGGTCTCATAAGTACTGCAGAATGTGCTGGTAATGGACACCTGGCATCACATTTCCTGAGGGGCACAAGTGGATGTCTGGAAATCACTCAGGAAAGTGCATAAAATGAAGCAAAAGAGGAGAAAGCAAGCAAGGTCAGAGGGACACTCCAGGAGACACCTGGGAACCCAGATGAGGGCCCAGCCAAGAGGGCAGGTGCCAGCAGGGAGGGTGTGGGGTGTGGGGTGTGGGTGAGGGTAAGCACAGGCAAGAATGGCTGGCTGGATGCTAGGAGAGCATGCAGATCACAGAAGTTGCTGGGGAGCAGGCAGCACTGTCCACTGAGGACAGCCAGGGAGGTGCGTACAAGTTCTGAGGGGGAAAGTTTGCATGTGATGCTTCCTGGGTCCCAGTGCAGCCAGTGACAGGTGGTGGATGCACTGAATTAACAGTAGCAAAGTGAAACATGGACGGGGTGAAGGGCAACCAGAGTGAGCTGAGACCTGGGCTCCTTTGATGTCACAACACCCAGGTACCACCAAAATGCCATGATGACCCAGGAGTGGTCTGTTGGCCTCCCCTGCCCTTGGAGTCTGTGGATTGAGGAGGAAGCCGGTGGAGACCACACCCTTCCTCCCCAAAAGTCAGGAGATGGCTAAGATGAAAAATAATCACAGGATAATTAAGAAAAGCCGCTGAGACTGGAAACTAAAGGACCAAAGAGTTGGGAGCTTTGGAAAGAACTAAGCCCTCTACTTCAATGCCTCTAGGCAACCCTCAAGGCCATCCCAGACTCTAAGTCCCCCAAAGAGAACTGGGCACTGGGGCTCCACGCAGCCTCGCAAGCCAGACTGGTCATTCGGGCTCAGCAAGCAGAGCAGGTTTTTGAGAGGGTGAGGAAGAGAGGCCCAGAAACTGCAGGCCCTGCCCTGTGAGCCTGAGTCTGGGTAAGCAGTATAATATGCTAATGAAAGCCTGCCTCTCCCTCCTCTCTTCCCCCCTCCCATCCCCCAACACCTCTCCAGCTGTGTGTCTAAAATACTATCCCCTTCACCAGGGCCTGATCTGGACCTCTCAGGGAGTCCCAGCCCAAAACCCCAGAGCACAGTGATGGTCAAGCCCATGAGCCCCTGATACATTGCCCTGAGAACTAAAGAATGGAACAGAATCCAGACCCACCCCTGCTGCACCTGTTTCCTGGAACCAGACAAAGCCCCCACCCTTGCTGGCCACCCCTCGGCCCTCACCCAATGGTGATGCCCCCAGGAAGCTTTCACAGGGCCACTGGCCTGGAGTTTTTTCTTTAGTTAGCTGTGTGGCTGCTCACTACTTCTTGTGTCCTGCCAGATTCTGTAAGCAACAAAAGGTACTGTGCTGCGCACGTGCCCTGGCAAGGCTGAGGCAGCAGGCACGGGCCAAGCAAGTCCTTCTAGTCCTGCTGGGTAGCAACCAAATCCTCTGTCTCCTGGAACCAGGGTCACCTTCTGCCTGACCCTCACTTGTGCTCCTGGAGGAGCAACCTGCTCCTCTGCCTGGGTCTTCCCAGCTTCAGTGCATCTCAGAAGCTGATTATGCAACCCAAATGAACTTGAAGCCATCACACTGTAAACACTTTGGCGGAACTGTCCAGAATGGCATCAGGTTTCCTCATTGCTGGGTCAGAAGTCTCACACACACACACACACACACACACACACACACACACACAGAGAGAGACTTGGGTTCTAATCCACAGCACCTCTGTTCTCTGAAGTCAGCACAAACTAGAATTTCTGATTCACCTGCAAGCTTGTCCAGCTCACAGCACAACCGTCCAGGTCAGGCTGTGTGTGCACTCAAACTCAACAGGCTGGCACTGCCTGGTAGCCAACTTCTATAACATCTCTTGTGGCTGAAGTAAAGGCCAGAACAGGAGACCAGGGAAAGCTTAGCACTGGCCAGAGAGTGCTCAGGAGCCAGATTGGCCTGGGGAGGACTGTGTCACTGCTGCCAGGTGGCCGGCGCCAACATTCATTATGTACCCATTCCTTAGGCCTTAAAAGCTTAGTAACCCCCATCCCCCAATGAAAGCCAAATACCCCTGGGAGAAGAGACCTTGGGCCTCCCTGATCCCTCCTGCCTAAGGCCATTAGGAATGCAACCCTGGAAGTCCTCCTGTTTGGGCAAGTGTCTGTGCTCATTTCTGGGGTGGCAGGGGATGCCAGGGTTGGGTCCCAGATCCCAGAGCCTACAGCGCATCTTACCCTAGGTCCCCATTCTGAGTTCTAACAGACAGTCTGTTTGAGCACACAGCCACCTGCATGGCTTAGAACTACTGATAGCCCAGGGACAGGTGGGGCACACCAGTGGGATAACAAGGGAACCCCAACCTCCTGCCTCAGACATGGCAAAACCCTAGACACAGAGCCAATACAACATCCCACCTGGACTGCTGTCCTCATGGGACCCCCTGGCCTAGGAGGTGCACACAGTGCTGTGCACAGAACTGGGAAGAGGCCCACACCAGGGCCACTGCCTCCCTGTGACCCCATGGGAACCTGAAGCAGATCAACTGACTCCACAGGCTTCCCTCCTAGAGTGTGGAAGTATGGATACAGAGGAGGCAGTGAGAGGCAGACTTCACAGGAGTGAAGGGGGCAACTCTCTGGCTCTACCAGTCATCATCATTTACAGTCAACAACTTGATTTGCACCAAGATTTGCCTTGTACAGATGTATGTCCAGGTGTGCACAGCAATTGATGGACTGCACCTGGAACCACTAAGAATTAAGTTGTACAGAGAACAGAGCTCAGACCATAGAGAACATGTGACCAGCAAAACATCTTTAGGACCAGCATTTTAATCAGTTCCTAATATCTGGTCTGTCACTTCCTGCCTACAGTTAACAGGCTTCCTTCAGTCAGAAAGAGTGAAAGTGATGTCCTGATTGTTCCAGATTTTTTTTCTGTAAGTTTATCTCCAGAGCTCCAGAGCAAGGCATCTTCCCTTCCCCCAGTTCTCCTGCTCACCCATAATTGCTGGCCCAGATATCACAAAAATTCAGTACCTGATGGACCACAGCACAAGGGGTGGGACTGCCTTGCCTGCTGCAGGCTCCTAAATCTGATGCCCCTGTGTCTGCCCTTAGAGCTTTCTACAGGGCAACACTGTCCACAAATGCCACAGGACATGTATATTCCCCGCCCACCACACAAAAGAAGTATCTGCTGCTTGTCTCAAAAAAAAGGAAGGAAGGAAGGAAGGAAGGAGGGAAGGAAGGAGGGAAGAAAGGAGGGAGGGAAGGAAGGAAGGAAGGAAGGAAGGAGGGAGGGAAGGAAGGAGGGAGGGAAGGAGGGAAGAAAGGAGGGAGGGAAGGAAGGAAGGAGGGAAGGAAGGAAGGAGGGAGGGAAGGAAGGAGGGAGGGAAGGAAGGAAGAGGGGAAGGAAGGAGGGAAGGAAGGAAGGAGGGAAGGAAGGAAGGAGGGAGGGAAGGAAGGGGGAAGGAGGGAAGAAAAGGAGGGAGGAAAGGAAGGAAGGAGGGAGGGAAGGAAGGGGAAGGAGGGAAGGAAGGGAGGAGGGAAGGGAGGAGGGAAGGAAGGAAGGAGAGAGGGAGGAAAGGAAGGAGGGAGGGAGGGAAGGAGGGAGGGAGGGAAGGAAGGAGGGAGGAGGAAGGAAGGAGGGAGGGAAGGAGGAGGGAAGGAAGGAGGGAGGGAAGGAAGGAGGGAAGGAAGGAAAGAGAGAGGGAGGGAAGGAAGGAGGGAGGGAAGGAAGGAGGGAAGGAAGGAAGGAGGGAAGGAAGGGGGAAGGAGGGAAGGAAGGGAGGAGGGAAGGAAGGAAGGAGGGAGGAAAGGAAGGAAGGAGGGAGGGAAGGAGGGAAGGAAGGGGGAAGGAGGGAAGGAAGGGGGGAGGGAAGGAAGGAGAAAAAACCCACAATCATTCCATGGTTTCCCAAACCATGCACATCCTGTCAATAGCCTCACTCAGCCCATGTGGCCTTGGAGAGACTTTCTGTCTAGGACCTCACCTGGGTTCCCACACTCTCACTCCCTGGGAGGGGGCTCCTCACTGCACCCGCCTCCCAGGTGCTTGCTGGTGTCTCCTCTCCGTGAAGGAGCTTCTTCATACAGGCTCCTGTCTCTGTCTCATGGAGCTGGGTCAGCCCCACTCTCCCTAGAGACTTAAAGTGGTTTTTCTCAGTCCTGACTACTGACCACCCACATGAAGCCTCTGGGATCTCTGGTTGGCCCCACATTCTGGGACATCACAGCTTGGCTGCTCTGGGATGTGGGTCAGCCTCAGTTCCCCACCCAGAACTCCACATATTAGGACTGTGGCAGACACCAAAACACCTGGCCAGTTTGTGGAGCAGATGGAAGGGTAAAAGCCCCCACCTCAGATGAGTTATGACCAGTCCTTAAGAAACCAGGACTGACCTCAGGGATGCTATTCAACACTCATATTTCATATTTTCAGAGGCCAAACACTGTTCCACAAGGCCAGAAACACCAGAAATCTAAGGGTATACCCCACACACACACCTTGCAGCTCTCCTAGGGAAGACCCTGGACACCACTCATGGGCTCTGCAGGCAAACATGCCACAGCCGAGCCACAAACAGAGCATTTCACAGAGGTGAGCAGAGGAAGGAGTGGAAAAAGTCAGAGTGCTCTGCAAACCCCCAATGTTACCTATGAAAAAGCTGCAGTGCAGGTGACCCACATAACCCCCTCACAGGCCACTCACCAGACAGCGCACGCAGGTCCAGCCCCCTATGTCCGTTCATCAGCTCATATTGGAAACCCGTGGTCCTCCTGCTGATGTCCTGCTGAGGTGTTGCCTCCACAAACAGGCCTCCCTGCTCTAGGCCGAAGCACTGTACCTGGCCAAGCTCACTGCCCCCATCCCGCACCAGCAGTCTCAGTTCTCCAGTTTTTTCCAAATAAATATTGGCTCCTGAGGAGTCCCTGAAGGGTTTGATGCACACAGTCAGGTGCCGGGTAGGTGAGAAGGTGTTAGTCCTCAGGTTGATGATGAGTGCTCCCATCGGGTACATCCACTCCACAGACCCGGCCGAGCACCGTAAATACACCTGCTCCACATCCTTGCTGTGTGCCTCATGGGTCAGTCCACTGCGGAAAGAGGGGGACAGTGTCAGCCCGAGCCCCAGAACCACGAGTTCCCATATACCACATGCACCCCACTCAGGGGAGAATATGTGAGGGCAATGCCCATGATGACCACTCACACTTGCCCACCACCTCAAAGCCCCAACCCAGGGAGGAGGCAGCTGCTCAGTGCCTGTCACCTCTACCCAGCCTCCCCCACTAAGTTCCAAAGAGCCTGATCCAAGAGCCAAGGTGGGCTGAGCTACAGCCCTGATGAGTTCAGGTGGAGTTGGCTCCCCAAACCCTCTAGAGCCCTTGATGCTCAGTGTCTACCTGCCTTCGCAGATGCAGCTTCAGGCACCTGAGTCTTAGCAGCGTCCCTGAGCCAGAGAGACTGGGGGTGCCAGGAACAGTGAAAGTAGGAGCCAAGGAGGGGCTGGATGCTTCCGAAACTTTAAGGAAACTCCAGCAGGACCTCAACACCAACCAAGGTTTCAGATGACTCAAGAGGGTCAGGACAATGGGAAGATGATGCAGAGTCCATCCATTTTTCATAGAGGGTAAAAAAACGAGACTCGGACTCATGTTACAAGGTGCTGTGGGTGTGGTGCCCATGCAGCAATGACACCAGGCTCTACAGAGCCTCTTCTAAACCAGCTGGGAGAATCAGCAATAGGGGGAGGGGAGTCTTTGTATTTCCTTCATTTCCAAATCTGACATCCCTGCCCTGCCACTCATAATTTTTCAAATAAACACAGGTGTCTTTAAAACAAGGTCCACTACATCCTCCTTGGGTGTGGCCTGGGAGGGACAGGAGGACAAAAGGTAGCAGGCCTTTCTAAAAGGAATTCCTAAAGTAGCTCCTGTAATGGTGAAGTAGGAAAACATGGATGCAGTGTGCTATCATCCTCAGCCATGCAGGTCCTAAAAGAGACAGTTCTGTTTTCAAGAAACTGAAACCGCCAGAAACGTTGAAGTTTCTCCTGCTCAAAACTTAAATGCAAATGTTAGCTTGTCGCTAACGGTTATGTCATTAACCACAGTGGGCCTGGAGCGAAACCAGTGACTTCAGCTAAGAGTTTTATTACATGAAATTTGGTTCTGATCAGATCTCAGACAGGTTCACCAACATTCTTAGGATTTTTATGTGAAATAAACAAGGCTATGTCCAGAGCCCAGTCTGAGTGAGTTACCAGAAACCTATTCTGCCAGAGAAAATTTATAACATATGGTCTTCATTTGGTGCTGGTGACTCAGGCCCCCAAAACTTCACTTTTGATACAAGGGCCGGCTGCAGGCTGAGGCTGCAAGTCACCCTGCAGACCACATCAGAGGGAAGTAGGAGGGTGACCCCCTCCTGACTTGCTCCCCCACCCCCACAAGGCCCTGGGCCATTTGCAGCCAGCCTGGCTGCAGGCAGCTACTAGGGCCGCACACGCAGAACAAACTTACAAATTACACTCAATAAAACTTACACAAGCTCATCTGACACCTATGCAGGGATGGGCATAATTATAGTGTTATATGAAAATCATACTAAATGGTGAGTGGCTGACACACATGGCTGTAATCAGCTCTGTCCTTATTCAGCTAAAGCAAACCTAATTATTGTGTCCCTCTTCCTGTCGCCAGCATCAAGGGTAGCTGACACTTGCCCCAGGCCCAGCCCAGCCTCAACTATCCCATACAAGGCATCTACCTAGAGGGCCCTGAGGGTCCTGGTGTTGACACCCACACCAAAGGCTCTGCATTGTTCATCTGCACAGATGAGTGGGGGAACAGCCAGGTAGGGACTAGGAAACCCTCAGGGAACACCAACAGGTGGAAAGCCTACAGCACCCAGGGGAGAAGGCCTGAGTCTGGGGACTGCCATTCCAGCAGCCACATATACATGCATCATGGGATAATCCACCTGGCTCCAATTAATCAGAAGGAACAAAACAAAGATGGACTCACAAGAAATGAGGTACTTGTTACCTCACTGTACTCACACCCAGGAAAAGGTCTGTGCCCACCCCAGGACCAGTGGCTATGTCTCCCCCCTCATTCTTCTAAAACACCAAGGTCAACAGGAATCCAACCAGGCAGTCCCTCAGGAGCTTTCCTATTAAGACCATGTGATATGTGTGACCCTTTTAGACAAACAACCACTCAGGGAAGTAAAGCCAAGGGTCCCTCAAGCCATAGTTCTTTGATGCACCAGTCTGTGCTGGTTCCTACTAGGCCCCAAATCTCTCATTCCAAATATCCAGAACCACAAAAACTTGAAAAAAAAAAATGCCCTGCAAAGTTGCTGCAATTGCAAAAGCAACCATCTTTAATGGTCATCCATGAAAAGATTCTACCACCTTCATGAGATGCAGGTGATATGCTAACTATGCAAAAACCACAACCCACTGTTGTGATGAAACTACTACACAGACAGAACTGGTTCCAGTCCACAAACTGACAAAGCTGATTTGATCATGGATTAATTAAACTGAATTAATGCTTTCTCTGTGTGTGTGCACATGCCAGGCAAGCACTGTACCATACAGCTACATAACCAGCCCAGTGTATTTTTTAAAAAGTTAGCAAGGGCCACTACCCAGGTGGACACAAGTGTGGTTGCCTTTATGAGGAAGAGGGTAAATCCCAAGTTGGTATGAGGACTCACTGAAAACAAGCACAGATCATGCCCACACGCTGCTCACCCAGAGCCCAACAACCCCCAGTCACCTGGGCAAGATGAGTCCCTGGTTTACTTAAGTCAGGAGGACTTAGATCAGGGGAAACCAAGAGGCTCTACTGACAAGTTTTACCCTTCATTCCCCTCTTTGCCAGAGACAGCCCAGGTGTGACAGACCACACCTGCCATGCCCCTGCTGATAGCAATGGGAAAGTTCATGGTCCACCTTTATGGCCACTGGCTAATAAAGATTAGGGGCTGGACCTGCTGAAATCTGGGAAAGGGATTTCAAAATCTCCACCCTAATTGCTTGGAAACACCCAGAAGCATGCCTGTGTCAAATGTGAGTAGCCAGTGCCATGGAGACCAACTCCTTTCCTATCAGGGGCAGAATCTAGTGGCATTTAGAGGCTGGCTCCACCTGTGCTGTCCTTGAACTGCTCATAAAAAGTCATAAACGCTATGGAGTTAGCAAGCAAGCCAGCACACTCCTCAGTAAGTCAGCTGATGTGTGAAGAGTTCTGATAAGTGGGAGCAGTGACTAGAAGACAAGAGAGCCTTATTTATACTCCAGCGCATACCCACAGTTCTAAAGGCCCTTCAGTTGCCCTCTGCCAGGCTCTGCCTCTAAGAGTCCCAGGATAGGAAGTGTGTTAGCAGCAGAAGAGGAGGAGGACCCAGGTAGACCAGAGGGTGGACAGGTACTAGGCAGGGCCACGCCTCCTCCCACTCTGTGGATGTTCTAGCCTGACTCTGGAGGGGGGGCGGCAGCCTCCCAACAGACCCCTGGATTCAGGAGAATGTTCAGAGAATTGACACACAATCTTCTAAGAACCTAGAAAAGGATATCGGCTTTTGTTGGAACCCTAGGCTCACAGGACAAGGAATGTTTATCTGTTTCTGATCTGCTGGAGCAGGACACCCCAAGTCCTCAGGTTAGGGTGCACTGATTCACCAGCAAAGGCTGGAGAAGGGAGCTAATTGCCATGGGGAAAGGGCAGCCCCAGAAGAGGCTCAGCATCAGAGGCTCCCAGCCAGCTCTGTGCTGGCGCCAGCATTCCCCAGGCCAACCCTCCCCCAGAGCTCCATCCGCCCTCGGCCCCAATCTCTGCTCAGTCCCTGGCTCTGCCAGGCAGTGGGGATTTCTGCTGCGGAGGAAGACAGCAAACTCCCTATGAGGCGGTGCCTGAGCTCTCAGGAGCCAGAGCTCCATCTTCCAGTCCAACTTCCCTGGCAGGATCCTTGGGGAGCGAAGGATTGTGGTCACTGTGGTTTCTTCAGAAAGCTGGGCGTTATAAGTGTCCAGCGGTGCCCTGCTGACGCAGAGCCTGGGCACCACTCAACCCCCCAACCTTCTCGGAAAACTAGCTTCATCAAAATCACCCATGACACACACACACACACACACACACACACACAAGCTGTTATGTGAGTGCCCTGTCCATGGGATACCCGGACACCAGACCCACGAGCAACTCCAGCCCACTGCGTTTTCATAGGAAACATGCATCAGCACAGCGCCCTCCACAAAGCGCTGAATTGGCAACTTCCGAGGCACAAAACTGGCTTGGGGAAAGGCGAAGACCGGCCACGGTGCCCGGCGCGCACTCGGTATCCATCTTCAATAGCTCTGGGTCCTCAGGCACCCCGCCCTCGCACACTTGTGACTTGCCCTCCTTTCTGCATGTCACACTTCAGTTAAAAGAAAGTCCTCGACTGCCACCACGGACGAGGGCGGAGAGGGGGGTCGCGGAGTCCGGCGCGCGCGGCTGCCAAGGGCGGCTTGACCTTCACCGGGGGGCGGGGGGCTCCTCCGGGCCGCACTCGGCCCGCGCACAGGTGTTGCCCTCGGCTCGTCGCCCCATAGACGTAGCCAATGCTGTCTCCAGTGGGGGTCCCGCTCCGTCCGCAAAGCTCCCTCCCTAGCCCGAGGCGTCCCTCCTAGCTCTGCCGGGCGCAGGCCGGGAGGCAACCGGGTCGCGCAATTCGCGCCGTAGGCACAAACGCTAGGGAGAAGCACCAATTCTCCATCAATTCCACGGAGCTCGGAGATCCGTGGGGTCCGGCGATCCACGCAGGGCGAGTGGACGGCCGGGTCAAACCCACCCCGCCGCACTGCCGCGCGCCTCCCTCGGGCGTCCTCCGGGCCGGGACCCTGAAGCAGCGGGCTCTTTTGTTCTGCAACGGGGGGCGGGGGCGGGGGGCACCGGACTCCGTCTACAGAGCAGCCTCGACCCCCGCCGCGCCAGCCCCTGCCGCACCCTCGCCAGCTCGACCGGCCCGCGAACGGAGGGGATCAGAGGGCCGGGTCCAGGCGAACTGGGCCGAGGATCGCGCCGCGGGACTCACCTCCCCTTCCAGCTGCATAGGTCGCTGGAGTACTGTGCGCCCACGCCGCCCAGCAGCACCGCCAGCAACAGCAGCAGCAGCAGCAGAGGCGGGGGCGGGCCCGGGCCGGGAACTGGGGGCCGCGGCCACAGCTGCCCTGCGCGCCCCCGGGCCGCCCGCGCTGCGCCCCGCATGCTCCAGCGGGTTCACCGCCCGGCCCGCGTCCGCGCTCCGCGAATAGATCCTCCACCTGGCGCGACTGGTGGAGCGGGATCCGGGTGCAGACTGGTCACGTCGCGCGCCCTCCGCAGTCCCCGCGCGGCCGCCAGCCCATCCCCGCCCGCCCGAGACCGCTCGCGCCGCGGGAGTTGCAGGAGCGGCACTCGGAACTGTGTCCGCCACCGCCGCCGCCTGAGCCTCTGAGTTGGCGAGTCCCAGGCCCGCGGTCCGGGCTCAGCTGGGAGGCGGGTCCGAGGGACCGCCCCGCCCCAGTCTGGCCGCCCAGTCCCCGTCCCCGCCCCCGCCCAGCAGCCCAGGCCCCGCCCAGCTTCTTGCCCCTGGCCGCAGGTTCGGCTGAGCACCCGCACTCTGGCTGGCGCACCCTCTCAAACGTCCATGCCCCGCGAGTCCAGGCTCCGTGCGCCGGGGCTGCACGCTGCAGACACGCGGGTGGGCAACATCTGGCACTGGACTCCAGGCGTTGTAGCTCGGTGTGGAACCGGTGGGGGCGCTGCGGAGAGTAGACTTCGCGAGGAGTGTGCGATGGTCCCGGGGGAGAGCCAGGGCTGGAGCTCGGGGCAGCTGCCCGTCCCCTCCCGCACTGCCTCCGCGCCTACACCAGGCAGGGGTCAGGGAAGAAACCCGAAACCCCGAGTATGTACCGACCCAAACCCAGTTCCTGGCAGCCCTTAAGGCCCCTCCGTAGTGGAGGTCCACCAGAGTGACCACTGAGCTGCGACGGGAACGACTGGCTGTGCCAGTTCCGTGGGGCCCCTGCGTCTCAGCAGCCGGTGGCCATCTGGGGATTTCCTGGCACCTCAGCCTCTCTCCCCTCAAGAATTTGTGATTAGTGGAGGCTGGGACTCTGTCCTCCACCTAGGTTTAACAACTGTCTCCAAACATTGGCACAGGCCCGCCCCCACGCGCAAGATTGCCATCTGAGAGCCCAGTTCTGACAAGGGATGGTCTTCCAGCTCTTCCTTCTTCAGGTGGTCATGTGGCCACAAAACCCTGACATCCAGTGGGGACACAATAGATACAGCAGCCCTAGCCCCACCTGGAGGGGGAGAGGCAGTCTTCTCTGACCTGGAACTCAACTCTCAAAAGCAGGGACGGAGGTAATGAGGGTCTCCCTGGCACAGAGAGGAAGCAGCTGGCACTCCAGGCTGTCCTCCCTTTCCTAGTATGAACTCCAGAGCCACAAACAGCATCAAATGGTGGAGAAATCTGACCTTGTTTTAGTATTCCTTTTCCAGCCAACATATTTTTCAGGAGGATTTTCAAGGGACCCATAGGAGTGGATGGGATGCATAGTGCACTTTTTCATGGTGAGAGACCTGGAAGTTTAGTTCATTGGGTGGTGACTATACTGGTAGCTGGGAGAGGGATGGAATTATGAGTCCTTTGGACTGAGACATAGGGAGCACCCTGTGCAGAGCTGAGACTTTTCAGGAGAGCTGGAGAAAGATGAGAAACCTAAGGACCTAGAAAACACCATTACAGTTTAAAAGATCTGCAGCCCTAGAACTGACCAAGTCAACCTACACAACAAAAGAGCCGGAGCTGGGACCCTGCCCAGCATATAAAGTGATGTCACCCTGAGACTCAAGGCTGGGTTTGAAGTTCCAGGAACACACCTGCGTATTTGAAGCTTGGAGGCCACTCCACCCATCCCACAGCTCTTGGAGTGTGGGCCCAGCTTCCATCACTGCAGGGTGCAGAAGTCAGGTGAGAACAAAAGGGAAGCAGCGCGTCACAGGGGAGAAGAACCTACTGGTTACACATCTGCAAACTGCAGCCACATTCTGTGCTAGCAGCACCTCTTATCTAGGGTGCTGCAGGGCTGGATATGTGGTTTATATGCAGCCCGCAGCCCAGCAGGCCCTGTCCATTGGGACAGCTTGTCAAAGTCCAGACAGTCACACTATGGAAGGGAGTACGAGCAGTATCCAGCACAGACACTGAGGGTTAATGACCTTCAGTGACCTGTCCAGGTTCTCAGGACCCCTACTGGCTGCTGATTCCATGCCAAGGCAGGGCTCTGGGACCTAACATAGTGCCCAGGCACCTGTGCCTAGTAGACTTCCATTATACTGGGACCATAGCATGGTGGACACAAACCCATGTTCATTTATTAAAACTCATGGAACACATAGTACAAGAGAGAATCAGAAAGTAGACGTTGGCCTTAAGCTAAACCAATGTATCAACATTGATTCACTGATTGTCATGCAAACACATTAATGCAGGATGTTAATCACGGGAACTGAGTTGGGGAGAGGGTGAGTATTGAAGAAGTCTGATATCTGTTTAGTTTTTCTGTAAACCTAGAAAGGTACTAATTAAAAAACAAGAAAAAGCCAGGCGCTGGTGGCCCACACCTGTAATCCTAGCTACTGAGGAGGCAGAGATCAGGAGGATTTCAGTTGGAAGTCAGCCCCAGGCAAATAGTTTGTGAGCTCCTATCTTGAAAATACCCAACATAAAAAAGTGCTGGTGGAGTGGCTCAAGTGGTAGAGCACTTGCCTAGCAAGTGTGAGAACCTGAGTTCAAAACCCTAATACCACCTAAATAAATTAATTAAATTAAAATTAGGGTAAAAACAAATACTTACCTGGGCAGACTTCTTGAGAGAATCCTATAGGTCATTGGGGAAGAAGCTGGACCTGCCTTCCAGGACACAGGACCCTCCAATAGGATCCCTGAAGCAGGAATTTCCAGATTCTCATCTTCCTGAGCCATCAGCCAGAATGGGGTGGGGTCAGTGACAGAACTGGTTCTTGGCCCTCTCACTGAGATCTTGCATCCTGCTGGCTCCTGGGATGTCTATGCCCCAGAGATTTTCTGCACTTCCTGGCACCTCTGCTGACCCAGCAAAGCTACTTACAGAGGAAACATCTCCATAGATGGCCACCACTGGTGGCCAGTGGTGTCTGGCTCCTGGGGGCAGAAGGCTGTCTGTGGCTGTCCACCAGTCACTGTCACTGTCGCTTTTCACTCCTAGGCCCTGGTGGGTTGACCACGGACCTACAGGGATCTGAGCTCACAGGGATTCCTCTGAAAATTCTTGGAGAAAAGAACCTGGAGTGTATTATTCCAGGGTGGCTGGAAAGGCTTCCCAGCAGTCTCCTCTACACCACAGTGGGGAGGGTTAACCTCTCAGTGGTCCTTACGACATGGGCAAAGGGTTTGGTACTTTCTCTCCACCATGGCACATCAGTTAGAGTGCAGAGGCTGAGCTTTGTAATTGGAGAATTCCAGAACCCATCAGCATAATGCCTGCTCATTTTCTATATTGGGGAACCTGGAGAAGCAGGACCAGGGACTTTGCAGTGGCCCCTCCCCACCCTAGTAATAGCAACTAAGGGGCCTGGACTTGCACTGTCTTGCCCGAGCCCTGTCAGTTGACTCAGAGATGATGATAGCAGACCCCCAGGCTGCTCCTCAGTGTGGTTCTCCCCTGCCACCAAGGAGGAGGCCCCTTTGAGTCCCTGTCCTGGAGCAGGTGGCTCAAAGAGTCACAGGGCTTTGAACTGGCTGGCCACTGGAAGCTATGGTCCTGTCCCACCCCATGGGGACTGAGCCACATGCCATCCACGCCAAAGAATCAGTGTCTGTAAGGCCAAAGCTGGAGCCAGTCACTCAACCTTGACGTCTTCCTCCATCTGTTCATCCAACACCTCCTGGGCAGATGTCTGTGATAATTCCCTGCTGCCCCTGGATGGATAATTATTACTTAGTTGCTGCACTCATGGTGCCAACCTCTGTGCACATCTGATTGGGCACATTTAGAGTCCACTTGGATGTCAAGCTGTCACCTCCACAAATGGATTCACTTCCTGAACAGGGTGTAATAATTTCCTTTGGTACCCCTGACCTGAGCCCAGCCAGGCCTGAGGCCAAGAAGGCAGGACATGGCTTCTCACATCTGGGCACCAGAGTGATAGCAGCAGGCTCAGCCATGTGTGTCTGGCCCTGGAGATTTTACAGTGTACACTGTGGGGTGGCACATTTCATGGGGCCTGACACTGGGGAAGGGAGCTTGCTGGGGGCAGGAGTTGTAGGTCTGGAACATTAGGGTGCACATAGGTCCTGTGTGTGATGGACAACAGGGCTTAGACATCAGCATCCCCATTATGGTTCCCACAGGCTATGGGGTCGTAGTCCATTTCTGAACCTCAGTTACCTGCAGAATGGGGCAGCCCCAATTCCCAGTGTAGGGTTCCCAGTGTTGACATATAATACCTCATCCTTGGATGTGAGCTAACCAGAGAGTCTCTTAGGAATGTTGATTACACTCTCCCCACAATGCTTGTAGGTTTTGCCCAGTCTTGAGGTTTCAAATATGTACCAATGACCCTTCTGTTGTACAAAGTGGCAATCACCTGAAGCTACTCACTAAAGAATCACCACCCTTTCCCCATACACTTCCAGAAAGACATTTGGCTTCCCCCAAACACGTATGGAGGTTTTCCCTCTTAGCATTGAAAACCTTAAGAAGCCAGCCAGCCATGGCCCTTCCTTTGCCCCTTGATGCTTGGTAAGAACACCTGTCCCACTGCCCTCTTCAGCCTCCAGCCCCCAAGTCATCTGTCACTCCACGTCCCTCTCTGAGGTCACTTTACTGACCTTCTTGTAGGGACATAATTATCGTAATTGTGGTCAAATGATGCACCAAGAGCCAACGCTTATAATTTAACATTTAGCAACTGCAGTGAGTAACATGCAATTACAACATGAAACAGCTCATGGAGACCCAGCCGGCTTCAACCCAGTAACCTTCAGTGTGTAAATTCTTCACCTAGCTCCTCCCTAACCTAATTTGCCAGCAGGTTATACTGTCTAAGTCACAAAAAAAGTGGGAGGAATAGAGTCACATCTGGCGTGCCTGGAGCCCAGGGGTTCCTTGAATCGGCTGAGTGTGGGCTTCAGGCCAGGCAGCTCCAGATTTGAGTTCAGGCTGACTGCAGCTGGTATGTGACCTTGTTGTGATGCCCACACTACTGGGGCTCAGCAGTTTGGGCAGTTCTGCACAGTATTATTATTGTTGTTGTCTGTAGCAACTACTCAGCAATCTCAGGTTCCCTTTGCCTA